AGTAAGAGAGGTTTCTTTGAAGGTTTTGTAACACAATATATTTTTGATGTCATCCTGTGTCTCCTCGTCATTTGACTCCATTTTAACCTTTGTGAATCCAAGCCAACCCCAGGTTGCATCCTCCACAAAGGAGCAAACTTCAAACTTTTAAGAGCCACTTTTCAAAACACTTTCTGTGGAGAATTCCTCTAAACACATGATTATGTCAAAGAATCAAAATGAACTATGTATTTACAGTGAGTCAAACCCTTGAGACAGTCAGTTTTATAAATGTAATCAGCGGTACAGCTGCTAGTGAGTGTGTTGCATCACCTGAAAGGCCTCACTGGTCCTGAATAATCAATTAGTCCCACTTGCCCTCTCCCTCCCTCCCCCTCAGGTTTTCCTCTTTGCCTCCCTTGTTCTCCCTTCTCCCTCTCTCTACATCCCCTCATCTCCCCCCACGAGCTCACCCAGCCTCTTCAGGGAGCTGTAGCGGCTGATCTCAGGTTTCATGGTGGCCTCATAGGACGGCGGCAGCTGGGCCAGGTTGTGGAAGGAGTGGGAGAAGGACGGGTGGCTGCTGTTGTGTCTCATGCCGCCTCCGATAATGCTGCCACCGCCGACGCCAACGCTGCCGGGACCTTTACCGCTACCTGAAAGCAGGGTGGGACCAGAGGAGAGCTGGGGGGTGTTGTTCATACGGGATCCACGCTCTGGAGAGCAACAGTGAGAGAGGATGGAGGGACAGGAAAAGGTGTAAAGAGAAAGGTGGAAAATGGAGATGATAGATCAAGCAAGTGAAGATGAGAGGGAGGGAAGGGAAATGGAAGATTCGAGATGAAGAAGAGGAGGAAAAAGAAAAAAAATGAAGGAAAAACAGAGAAAAAATGGTTGAAGAACAGGAGGATGAAAAAAGACAGAAGATGGAGCATAGGAGGATGGGGAACAGTAGTGACGAGGAAGGAAGGACAAAGTGAGATGTATGGGGATAAGAATGGGGGAGAGCAGGAACAAAAAATGAGAGAAAAGAAGAGAAAAGAGAAATCGAATACAGAGATAGAAACAGAAATGACAGAAAAGGAAGACAAAGCGGAAAAAAAGAAGAGAAAGGGAAGACAGAACAAGTGGAGAAGATACAAGCTGGTTAATGATCAGTAAACACAGGAAGTGTCTCCGAGCTCCATGGTGACCGTCTATAAATACGACTCTTGTACTGTTCAATCTGGGGCTCCAACACAAACATATCAGCCACATGTAAATACATAGAAATGCACTGATGGCATCAGGGTGGGGGGGGGCTGGGGGGTGGGGATCTATATACACACATTCACATTTATGCAAAGTGCAAAAGCAGCACATCCATCAATACACATAAAAATGATGTGTCTTATGTAAGATTAGCAGTATGGGGGAGGGGCAGGGGTGTCTGTTTTGCAACATGTATACTCATATCAGTTACATCATACAGTATACGAGTACATTCATATTTTGAAACAGCAAACAGACAGCACTTTGAACGACCCCACATGTACTGTAAGGTGCACTCGGTGGTGACCCGGCATGTGTAGGTTCTGTACATTTAAACGGGGACGAGGTGAAATCACATGCCGCAAATTGCTGGAAACATCGCTTATCCTCTGAGGAGTCATTTGAGAAGCTGAATTTGTAAAAAGGAGAAACTATATGAACTGCTGGGTCTCAGCAGAAGATGTGGAAAAAAAAGGTTAAAATGTAAAAATATGAAAATATAAAGCAGCGATAAAAGATTATGTAACTGCGGAAAATTGGCCATTTGCTGTTGTTTCCTGTGTTTGAGACAGACACAATCGATGTCGAGTCCACTCAGTGTGGTAATGGTTATAGGCTGCGATCTTGTTAAGATTACTGCTGGACATATACTGGTCATTGACCATTGACAGTAATGGGCAATAATGGCCAATAATGTCTCAGTTAAGCGTCACCCAGGGAACACACACCACATCGACTTCTGTACCGTGCATGTTACACACACGGTGGCAAAAAAGCAATGCCAGCTGTGAGATCATGGGTTTTAAAGTAGGAACTGAGCGGAGGATAATGAAGGCTGTAGAAAATATACCTAAAAAGCACCAAATATTGAGTTAAATGTGCAGAATTAGCTCGGTCATTTCCAAGAGTGCAAGGTAATCAATTTTTTTGGATTCACACACACACACACACACACACACACATACGATCGCCCATGTAGTAACCATCCATCACTCAGCCTGCAGAGGCGACTCCCATCCCCCTGCAGTTTTCAGCAATAACAGGGTGAGAGAGGTAAAGACAGAGAGAGAGGGAGAGAGAAAGGGAGAGAGAGGGAGAGGTTGCCAGCCACTGCCTCTCAAACATCTTTTCTTCCCTGTCGAAGGCAGCCAGGCCCCTGCAGACCAGCCAGCCAACGCCCCTCCCCCTATCTCCACATCTCTCTTTCCCTCCAATCCTTTCTTCCTTTCTTTCACTGCCTCTTCCTTCATTCTTCTCCCTCTGCTCAGTCGACCTCTCTGCATCTCTATCTTCCTGAATATCTATTTTTTCTCCCTGCTGTATCCTTATTTGCCCACTCAGCTCTTTTACAGCCCCTGATCCTCTTTCTTCACATTTATGCTCTCCCATGTTTCTACGTTTTTTTTTTTTTAACCCTTACATCAACTCCTTTTTCTCTGCCTCTCCCTACTTCCTTTTTTTCTACTCTTCTTTTTTAAATTGATGCTTTTCTTTACCCTGTTTACGCCTTTATGCCATCTGTCTGTCACTCTCTGTCTTTTCCATTATTTCCTTCACATCTCACACATCTCACCCCTCCCACCCCTATAATCATTTCCTCCAGTTTGTTTACTTTACTGTTATGGCTGTTTAGCAGAAACAGTTTGCACATTCAGGCTACACTGAGATGATTATTTGGCTTTGCAGTTGATTCACAAATCTCCTGGCGGCCATGCCTGGCTACGGCCATAATGGACTCTCATTCACTGGAGCATCAGCTGTGTGAAAGTCGAACTAACCGGGCTGCGAGAAGAGAAATATCCCACAAAGAGAGTGGTGGGGTGGGAGTCAGCCAGCTGATGTGAGAATAACTGGCCCGTAGTTGAGTTGGCAGAGACTCCTGTGCTTAAATGCTTAAATCACACATCTGATCTTGATGAACGAATTATTCAAGTTGAAGTTCTTCACTGATGTTCATTGTATAATGTGTTGAGAACAAAATGACGTAATGACGGTCAATGGAAACCCAGTGAGGGCTGGATTCACAATCACACTGAAAATCAAGGTAAAAAACTGAAACCACAGGCTGATCCAACTCTGTGTATGACCCCCGTGTGCCTGTATACACTCCTGACAGCGTCTGGACATGCTCCTGATGAGTCGGAGGATGGTGTCCTGGGGGATCTCCTCCCAGACCTGGATCAGGGCGTCAGTGAGCTCCTGGACAGTCTGTGGCGGTACTTCAGATGCACCGATACATAACGTCCCATAGGTGCTCAGTTGGGTTTAGGTCAGGGGAACGTGAGGGCCAGTCAATGGCATCAATGCCTTCGTCATCCCTACACCAGGTACCCAACAGCAGTCAGGGTTACAGCTGGCTGTGACATGGAGGTCTGTGCGACCCTCCAAGGATCTGCCTCCTCAGACCATCACTGACCCACCACCAAACTGCTCATGCTGGATGATGTTACAGGCAGCATAACGTTCACCACGGCGTCTCCAGACTCTTTCACGCCTGTCACATGTGCTCAGTGTGAATCTGGCGAATGCAAGTCGAGCTGCAGGGTGCTGGGCTGTGAGCACAGGTCCCACTAGAGGACGTCAGGTCCTCACGCCAGCCTCATGGAGTCTGTGTCTGACAGTTTGGTCAGTAACATGCGCACCAGGAGCCTGCTGGAGGTCATGTTGTAGGGCTCTGGCAGCACAAAGGAGCAGGTAGCGGTCCTGCTGCTGGGTTGATGCTTTCCACGGCTCCTGTCCAGCTCTCCTGGTGTAACGGGCGTCTCCTGGTGTCTCCTCCATGCTCTTGGGACTGTGCTGGGAGACACAGCAAACCTTCTTGCGGCTGCACGTATGGATGTGCCGGACTACCTGTGCAACCTGACTGTGCTGCAGGTGCCGCCTCATGCTACCAGTAGTGACACGGACACTAGCAAAACACGAAACTGGAGAAGAATCAGTCAGGAAGGAGAAGGAGAGAGCAAGTGTCTGTGGCCACCACATGTAGAACCATTCCCTTTTTGGGGGTTGTCTTGCTTTTATCCTCTGCATTGCAGCTGTTGTCACTTTCACTTGCACCAAAGCAGCTGAAACTGATTCACAATCACTTGTTGCTTCCTAAATGGACAGATTGATATCCCTGAAGTTTAACTGACTTGGTGTTATACTGTCATGATTAAGTGTTCCATTCATTTTTTTGAGCAGTGTATATACAACATCACAGCGATGGTTAGTTGACTGTGGTTAACCAAATAAGAGGCTAGTATTACATGTCATACATAAATGTCAACATAGTTAGTATTTGGACCAACAGCTGAGAGTTGATTATACTGTAAGAGTAGTAAGAGAGGTTTCTTTGAAGGTTTTGTAACACAATATATTTTTGATGTCATCCTGTGTCTCCTCGTCATTTGACTCCATTTTAACCTTTGTGAATCCAAGCCAACCCCAGGTTGCATCCTCCACAAAGGAGCAAACTTCAAACTTTTAAGAGCCACTTTTCAAAACACTTTCTGTGGAGAATTCCTCTAAACACATGATTATGTCAAAGAATCAAAATGAACTACGTATTTACAGTGAGTCAAACCCTTGAGACAGTCAGTTTTATAAATGTAATCAGCGGTACAGCTGCTAGTGAGTGTGTTGCATCACCTGAAAGGCCTCACTGGTCCTGAATAATCAATTAGTCCCACTTGCCCTCTCCCTCCCTCCCCCTCAGGTTTTCCTCTTTGCCTCCCTTGTTCTCCCTTCTCCCTCTCTCTACATCCCCTCATCTCCCCCCACGAGCTCACCCAGCCTCTTCAGGGAGCTGTAGCGGCTGATCTCAGGTTTCATGGTGGCCTCATAGGACGGCGGCAGCTGGGCCAGGTTGTGGAAGGAGTGGGAGAAGGACGGGTGGCTGCTGTTGTGTCTCATGCCGCCTCCGATAATGCTGCCACCGCCGACGCCAACGCTGCCGGGACCTTTACCGCTACCTGAAAGCAGGGTGGGACCAGAGGAGAGCTGGGGGGTGTTGTTCATACGGGATCCACGCTCTGGAGAGCAACAGTGAGAGAGGATGGAGGGACAGGAAAAGGTGTAAAGAGAAAGGTGGAAAATGGAGATGATAGATCAAGCAAGTGAAGATGAGAGGGAGGGAAGGGAAATGGAAGATTCGAGATGAAGAAGAGGAGGAAAAAGAAAAAAAATGAAGGAAAAACAGAGAAAAAATGGTTGAAGAACAGGAGGATGAAAAAAGACAGAAGATGGAGCATAGGAGGATGGGGAACAGTAGTGACGAGGAAGGAAGGACAAAGTGAGATGTATGGGGATAAGAATGGGGGAGAGCAGGAACAAAAAATGAGAGAAAAGAAGAGAAAAGAGAAATCGAATACAGAGATAGAAACAGAAATGACAGAAAAGGAAGACAAAGCGGAAAAAAAGAAGAGAAAGGGAAGACAGAACAAGTGGAGAAGATACAAGCTGGTTAATGATCAGTAAACACAGGAAGTGTCTCCGAGCTCCATGGTGACCGTCTATAAATACGACTCTTGTACTGTTCAATCTGGGGCTCCAACACAAACATATCAGCCACATGTAAATACATAGAAATGCACTGATGGCATCAGGGTGGGGGGGGGCTGGGGGGTGGGGATCTATATACACACATTCACATTTATGCAAAGTGCAAAAGCAGCACATCCATCAATACACATAAAAATGATGTGTCTTATGTAAGATTAGCAGTATGGGGGAGGGGCAGGGGTGTCTGTTTTGCAACATGTATACTCATATCAGTTACATCATACAGTATACGAGTACATTCATATTTTGAAACAGCAAACAGACAGCACTTTGAACGACCCCACATGTACTGTAAGGTGCACTCGGTGGTGACCCGGCATGTGTAGGTTCTGTACATTTAAACGGGGACGAGGTGAAATCACATGCCGCAAATTGCTGGAAACATCGCTTATCCTCTGAGGAGTCATTTGAGAAGCTGAATTTGTAAAAAGGAGAAACTATATGAACTGCTGGGTCTCAGCAGAAGATGTGGAAAAAAAAGGTTAAAATGTAAAAATATGAAAATATAAAGCAGCGATAAAAGATTATGTAACTGCGGAAAATTGGCCATTTGCTGTTGTTTCCTGTGTTTGAGACAGACACAATCGATGTCGAGTCCACTCAGTGTGGTAATGGTTATAGGCTGCGATCTTGTTAAGATTACTGCTGGACATATACTGGTCATTGACCATTGACAGTAATGGGCAATAATGGCCAATAATGTCTCAGTTAAGCGTCACCCAGGGAACACACACCACATCGACTTCTGTACCGTGCATGTTACACACACGGTGGCAAAAAAGCAATGCCAGCTGTGAGATCATGGGTTTTAAAGTAGGAACTGAGCGGAGGATAATGAAGGCTGTAGAAAATATACCTAAAAAGCACCAAATATTGAGTTAAATGTGCAGAATTAGCTCGGTCATTTCCAAGAGTGCAAGGTAATCAATTTTTTTGGAACACCTACGGTGGCTGACAGAGAAGTTTGATAATGGCGTCGTGGAAAAACGAACTTCAACATGTGCAGAGTGTCTGACTCAGAGAGTTGAAGTGTTCTGTTCTTGTTTCCTCCCAGGTGGCTGCTCACATTATCTAACACAGGAAGACTGAGGACAGAACTAAAGTAAACCAAGTTACCTTTAGAACCAAAGATGTCAAGAATGAAGTGACATCAATGAAGTAAACTCTTCAGGGTTCGTGGCACAAACACTGAAGAATGACACAAATGTGAATAAAACTTAAAATATGAATCCTTCCCATTTTCTTTTTATCCACTTCATAGAAACAAAGTGAGGCTTCTAAAATATTTAACAGTTACAGATATAATTTCCAGTAATACTGTATACAATTAATCAATAGTTTGTTCAATTTTTTATCAGTTACTTAACATAAGGGAGTTTGACTTGCTGGTTAACATTAACAACTGAAGGACTGAAAACCTTTGCTTACAGCACACATAAAAGCACTATTTATGCTAAGTTGTTGTTTAATGTTGGCATTAGACGTCGCCCTGACATTGGATTTTGGTACCTGACATCAAAACCTATATTCAACTGAATAATAAATAAAAATAATAAAAATATCAGCTATTGACGTTGGTGGCAGCTGTGTACCTGCTAGGTTCATCATCTCACCATATTTCCACAAACACCTTATCCAGAATTCAGTGGCAGCCATGTTAGATGCACCAAATTAGCCTTCACAAGCTATTATTTTTTCCAGTAGGAGTTCTGCTTATTTCCTGAGGACAGTGCTAACATTGCTTTTTTGTTTTCTTGGTGCAAAGCCTAGGAAAACAGACTCAGGAAGTGCAGTGACCTTGCTTAAGCCAAGACCTCCATTAATGTGTAGTGTCAGCTGCAAGCACACTTGCACATCACTGCTACACAGAGAGGAGGAGGAGAAGAAGAAGAAGAAGAAGAAGAAGAAGCACATTTGGAAGCAGGCTTGTGGTAATAGTGGGTGGTGGTGGGGCAGACAGGCTTGCATTAAGCAGAGGGCAGGCCAGACAACTTTTAGCTCACACTCTTATCAACGATGTGTCACTTTCAACACGACCATGTACAAAAAAATGCATCATTATAAACATGTTTTAAACCACAAGGTAGTGTTGACAGTGGCACAGCTGTTTTAAGAGCGCACTACAACAGGCCGTCAAACCAACAACAAGACAGACAGACAGTGTGGTAGTTAGGCCGTTCATCCGGCCGGCAGCTCGCCGCCGCCTGTGCTAGACCGTGCTGCTAACCATGAGGCTTACCGATGGTAGCAGAGTGTTTGGGGCTGGAAGCAGACCCCTGCTGGTTAAAATGGTGGTGCAAGTTCCCAGCTGCAAAGAGAGCAGAGCTGACAAACTGATGGACAACCACTCGAGAGACACAAGAGACGTGTGTTGAGTAAGCATTTGTGTCAATAGAGAGAGACAGTGGGAGAAACAGGACAGAGAGAGAAAAAGACAGTTTAGAGAAAAAGTCAGTCCCTCCAGGAATTAGCTTTTTTTTTTTGTCTTTACTTGTTAACAATATTTAATCAAGATGTTATTCAGCACATGATGTGGTGCAGCAAAAACCTCCAGACAGGAAGGAGATGAAGTACAACGTAGGTAGGTAGTGGATTTTATTCTGTATCAGGAGTGTAAATTCAGCTTACTGTACTTTCTGGTCCATTTAACCTGTTTGTTGTTTGTAGAGCTGCAACAATTAGTTAATTAATCAATGAGTGAACAGGCAGAAAATTAAACTGCCACTATTTGGATAAACAATTAATAATTTCAGTCATTTTTCAAGCTAAACAGCTTCTGCTTCACAAAGGTGAACACTTGCATTTGCTGTTTTATCTCATTGTAAACTGAATATCTTTGAGTTATGAATCAATCTGTTCTAATTTAACAAAAAAAAACAAGAATTAATCAAGAAAATTATTAAAAATAAACACTAGTTGCAGCTCTAGTTGTTTGCAAACTAGTGAATCCAGCTTTATAATCACATGTCATATGCAGAGGATCAGTTTGTATTATAATTTGTAGTATGTAGTACTCCCACTCCCAGGAGAGCAGGAGTATTTGCAAGTGTAGAAAAAATCCAATATTTTTAAGATATTTTCATTTTTACTTGACAACATTTCAAATCCTGGAGCGACTGAGAGAAGAAGGCTTGTTTTTGTTTGAGGTGAGAGACAGTGGCAGAGCGACAGAGACAGAGCAGAAGTAAAGAGAGAAACGTGTGTGTTGTTTGTGTTTGTTTAGACTGTAACTGTGTGAATTGTTAAGAGTACAACAAAATCAACACATTCACCGTCGCTCAGAGGGAAAACGCAACTTTTCTTTTTCTTTTTTTTTTCTTCCTGAAACCAGAGAAGTGTGATCGTTCCCACTAAAATCTGTTAATGCGAGTAACATTTTTGTCTCATTGGCAACAACACATAGGACTGTGAAACAATGCACAAGAATGAGAAAACAAAAATTCAATTAAGACTTTTTGCAGCTTCTGTCAAAGCCATGATTACCTCAAACAGCAAATGTAAAACAAATAATGTCTAAAAGATCAATATGTAATTGCAAATATTAAAAAACTGCCACATGAGAAAATATATAGATGACTTCCAGTGCATTTCAGCATTTAAATACAAAACTAACTGCTGGTTTGATTTTATTCTTTATTTTTCTGGTCATGACATAACAACCTGTCAACCCTCAGGGGTTCAGTTACAGTGCTGTGTTGAGCATTTAGTTAATTAGCAATTTTTTAGGTTAAAATTATAATTAGCTGAACATCTGCCCAAAAACTAACAACTGAGAAACAGAGGAGAGCTTCTTTTCTCTGCCTAAGAATCATAATATAAGAGAGAATTTACTGAGAAAGAAGTTAATTATTATCCTCAATATTTTCTAGATGTCAGAGTATTTTCTGGCACAGAAATAACATTAATGCCACTATATGTTTTCAAATTGTTCATGTTCATTATTCGTGCACATACAGTGAAAACTAACTAGGTTTTATAGGCATCAAATATGTGGTTAGATTTAGAGTCATTTAGAGAAAAAAATTTAGAGAAAAAGTATATAGAGAAAAATTAAAGGTGAATCAACACTACAAGCCATTAAAAGGTCTATTAGACGGATTTTTACTAATGACTAATGTAATGTAGCTTAATTTCAAAACAAAGGCCCACTGAGATTATCCATCAGCTTCTCTAAATAACTGTGTCTGGCAACCTTTCAGTCCCAGCAAACGTATTCTACTGGAAGTGTGATGTGTGTTACTGATACTGAGATTGAACTGAGATTTGAATAAACGCAGTGAGAATTACCATCCATGTCCCGGGGGAGACAACAACGCGCCCTGAATCAAACATTCATTTCACCTGACTGTGAATGTACCTTGTTTTCTGTTTTTCCACGCCGACAAATGTGTGTCACTCATATGTGTCTCTTTGTTTTGTTTTCCCACTTACTGCGGTTGTCTTTGCTCTGCAGGATGGGGGTGTAGAGGTTTTTGGATGTGCGTCCGTCTGAGGTGGTTGTGGTCAACACTGTGGTGTTGTTCCTCTCTCCCTGCTGCACAGGGCTCGACTGGTGACGCAGGATATCCACCAGTGATCTGACACAGCAGAGGATGGATGGATGAATGGAGGGAGGAGAAGAGGGAGAGAAGACGATAGACAGAGAGAGATGTAAAGAAAACAGGAAGGAGACGGACAATAAGAATGTGGAAGATACAATGAAATATTCAGCTATTTTACGGAGGCAAACTAATCTTTAAAAGTCTTTTTACATGTTAAGTTACAGGGGCCAGTTGCACAAAACACTTAAAGTTAAGATTTTCCTTAAAGTCTGAGTTTAGGTTTCCTTAAAATAAAAATAGTTGCACAATACACCCTTAAGTTTCCTCCTAAAACGTTTTCAATGTTCACTTAAGTATTTAAGGTTTTCTCCTTATCTTAGTCTTATACTTAAAGGAATCACTTAAAAGTCAGTTAAACCATTGCACAAAAGACCTTAGCGACCAGAGTAAGGAAAAAAATCTTAACTTAAAATCTTAACTGCAACATGGCAGAGTTTAGGGTCATAATTGAAGAAAATGAACACATCCCAAGAAGTGTCCCTCGACCGTGAGACACCCTTAACGATGCAGTAGAGTTGTACTGCTTTAAAATCCCTTTCACTGCTGCAAATGCCTTAACTTTTTTCCTCAGCTAAGGAGAAATTAAACCTTAAACGCCATACTTAAGTAGAAACCTTAAGCTGTTTTGTGCAAATTCCTTTGTCCTCGCCTAAAATATTTAATTAATTCACAGTATAATTCTGTAACGTTATGATTCAAGTGGTAAAATGTGGGTCATATGACTTCTGTTTGTAATCTTTATCACGCAGCACTTTCTAGCAGACCAAACCAGATGCTAAAATACAGCTACATAAACTTATTAGTAAGAACAAAGTAAACAAGCTGCAGGTGTGTTCTCTGTCCTAGAACTGAGTCTCACCTGGGCATGTTGATGTCTCTGTTCCGGGGTCGACGCGCCACCTTGCTGAAGGCGATCCTGACACCCACAGCCACCACCAGCGTGAAGGAGATCACCCCTCCGATCACATAGGCCGTGCTGTTTTTAGAGGAAAATGACATTAGCTCACTCAGCGCAGCAGAACAGGAAAACATTAAGCAAACAGAACATATTTCAGTATTTAGTTATTTACGCTTTTATCGTGTCCGTTGTTCATTTCTGTTTCATTCATGCGGCATGTGGCTGCTGTAATGTGGCATTGCCCAATTGTGACCATATACTATAATTTCTGACTCAAGTATTTATACTGTTAAACTGCTACATTGGCTTTAACTACTACAAGCAGTGACAAACAGACTCTCACCTGCTGCTCTGCTGCTGGAGTGTCTCGAAGTCTGGGTCAGGCTTGTTGACCGCGGGCACGGTGACGGGGACCTGTGGGTCGGCCCAGACGGGGGACTTGTAGTTGGTGCAAGAGTCCTGGTTCAGCCGGTTCCTCTGGTGCTCGCAGCAGAACCGGTAGTGGCAGGTACCGCAACAGTAGATGTAGCTGCCCTTGGAGCAGTTGAACGTGCTGTCAAAGTGCCCCATGACGTCGAAGTATCCCCTGTGGAACAAAGTTTGACAAAGACGTTTTGTCATCTGCATCACAGTACTTGATGCCTCTGCTACTTTAAGATGGAAGCACACAGATATTTTACTTAAATAAAAGTAGCAACTTCACAAACAAAACAAAAAAAGAGACAATTTTGGCAGATATTGTGATAGGAGTCACAATTTCAGTTGGAATGTTACAATTTTCGCATTTTATTTTCACTGAAAACATATATAAAAATTATGATGATGTGATTTTTGTTGGGTCATGTATCAAAAAAGTTTGTTTTTATGCATCTGGAGAATATGATTTGTAGTCTGGGGCGTCTCTGTAGCACAACAATGCTTCATTCTTGGTCTGTTGTGACACATTTAACCTTCATTAATACAATTGCAGCTCCTGCAAGTCGGATATTGCAAGATATTGAAGAAATAATCTATTACAAGTAAAAACCCAGGATTCAATTTTTTTCATAAGTCAAAGTACAAAGTACAAACGCATCACAACATACGTAAAGTACCAAAAGTAAAAGTCCTTATTAAGTGCAATGGCTCGTTATTGTTTTTTTTGTTTTTTGCACGTTGGTCCTTTACAATAGCAGTTTTCCAATAAGCTAATGCACATGTTTCATGACTGCTGTTTCCTTGGGTTTGAAGCATTTAGTGCTGCCTACGTCCTCGAGGCACCATGATTTATTATCGGAGGAGCTCTCTCTCTGAAAGAATTTAACTCCAAGCAGATAAACGTGTTGGTTTCTCTGCTGTCTGACGGTGCAGGGTTCAGGCTTTTCAACAATCAACAAGTTGAGGGGGGGGGGGCACTCGTGAAGCATTTTGGGCTTTATGTAACTTATAGATCTGTTTGTCTGTTATCATTGTACTGTTAGTGCTGCTTTTGACTGCCTGGATGAGCCTGCTGTTGATAGTTGTGGTGTGTAGCTGCTCGCCAACACACAACTGATTTAGAGCTGATTACATGTTGCCTAGCAACAGCAAGACGCCTCTCAGTGCAAAATATAAGCCTCAGTGAGATCAAGATCAGAGCTGCAGGAGGAGAGGAATCATGATGCGCCTCGCTTTCACGGCACCCAGTGTGATCAACACGTTACACAGAAATAAATTAGAGCTACAACCATGAACGTAACTTTGAAGGCTCTTTCCTTTGAAGGTTAACTTTGCTGACTTTTTACAACACACCTAAGCCTAAGCATTTTTGACTTCCCAGAGATTTTATTTCCCCTGGCAACAAATTTTTTTTCCAAATTTTAATGTCCTCTGTATTATTGTTCATTTATCTTGTAATATGCCTCTCATTTGATTTCAAGAAATCCTTTTTGGGTATTTTTAAATCAAAATCTCTCTTTTCTTTTCCTGTAAAAGTATTTTGATGACTAATCTCAAACTCGGTCAATTACAAGAATGTATCCAATCAAATGTGATTTGGGGTGACTAGCTAACTCTGTTTATCATATAAATCCACACTTGATCATTAGCTAGCACACTAGGGGGTATGTATTTTGATTTCAGCTGAGGTCTAATTTATTAATTAAACACTAATCCTCCTTATTCTGGTCTATCACTAGGTGGATTTCCATCCAAATGTAGCGCACATTTCAAAATTAAAGAAATAAAATAAAAAAACATGTCAATTATTTTATAAAAAATAGTTAATTTCCATTCACTGTTGTTATGCAAATGTTAGGAGGTGGTTTGTCAGTCAGGTGCCATTTAACCACTGCAGAAGAAGAGGGAGCAACAAGAGGATGCAATTAAAAGAGTGCCAAACCTCGAATGGTGAAAAGCAATGTAGAAAATATGATGGAAATATGGCATAAACCACAAGCCTTTTCCACAATCCAATCAAATGTCACTGATTTCATCTGAATCCCTGCTCACATATTCATAATATGTCACTTTACAGAAGTTAAAGATGCTCTAACTGCTGTTTCACTCTGACTTTAACACTCAAAATAAACAGCGATGAACGCGCTGATTTTATAAGAATAACCACACCACACCACACAACAGGAAATAGATCTGTTCCGAACCTGCACACGTCCACATCCACCAGCTGTCTTGGAGGTGGAGCCACCTGGGCTGCTCCGAGCGGAGGCTTCAGGGCGTCGGCCGTCATGTTCCTTGGCAACATGGTCTGAGGGAGGGGCTTCGGGGGGAGTTCGGCCATCACTGGAGGATTATCCCCGTCCTCCACCTCGGCCACTTTTGGCCCCACCTTGGGTCCAACGGGCAGCGGCGGCTTGTAGCCGGTAAGGAGGAACAAGGTGGTGCTCTTTTTACCAGATGCAGCGGAGCCACCGCTGCTGGTCAGAGTCCTGACATCACCATCAACATCATCTGTGGTGATGGTTACCGTGGAGACAGCGAGGCAGCAGAAAAGCAGGACAACGAGGGACGAGCAAAACATCCCTCTTGAAATTGTAGGTCTCATTGTTTTATCACAAAGTTCTTGAGCCGATGTTAAAAAAAAATCACAGAAAACAGCTCCGAATTTGAATTATCAGTGTCCTCTTCCAAGATGGCGGCTTCTTCACTTATAAAAACCCTCTGTATGAAAAGTTTTAACTCCAGTCTGATGAACTAACACCTTCTTGTTATGTACACACTGCACAGGTGCGAAGGGTTTCTCTTAGAGTTTAGCGGATTCACTTGGTTCAAGCGATGTTACATGAACGTGTTTGGCATTTCACTCTCTTATCTTAATGTAAACATTTCTTTCTGTATAGAAATCTTTCCTTTGAGCAGCTTTTGTAAACAATGAGGTCTTTCAGAGTTTTTAGGCCCTATATGAACTGCCTGCGAAATGGCTATAGATCTGAACTAATCAATTTAAATTAAAACCTGCACCAATTATCAGTACAGGATAATATGAGTTTGTTTTATGGCAGCAGGTGTCAGATATTTATTATTATTTTGGTCTGTAGTATTTTATTTATTTTACAGTCTATTGGCCAAAATTCAAAATCTTCAAAATAGGCAGTAATTTAAGATTTCTGTAAACAAAATGAGTGTGAGGAAACTGTAAACTCTTAATATAATGACCCCTCCAAAAAAAGAGTCTTATATCTCCTCCTAAAGAGTTTTCTGGGAGTTGTTTATGGCACACGAAAGTTACAATTCACATAAGAAACCGCGATGGAAAAATGGAGTCTGTAAACATTTAGCGCTGTATGTAAACTTTGTTTTTCACGTTTGATGAGCTTTAACAGATGTTGGAAGAATTCTTGTTGGAGTTTGGCACTTCTGTTGTCTTATGTGACTAACTGTTGTGTAAAATCATGCATGGAAAAATAATGTTTCTGAAATCAAATCAAATATTCAAGGTGTGTGTGTGTGTGTGTGTGTGTGTGTGTGTGTGTGTGTGTGTGTAAACAACACTGCTGGCAGCTTTAGAGATCTCAGCTTTGTTTGGTGAAGCTCAGTCTGAATTTGGCACAAGCTGTGACTTTAATTTGTATTTCTTTTACATCACACACAATCTGCCCAATAAACATGCTCTTCCTTTCAAGAGATTTAAAGGAAGAGAATTAGTAAAGGTCAATATGCTTTAAGTTTTGGTTTAAATTATAGTAGAATGGTGAATTTAGAAGTTGTGTACTGAGTTTGACTTATAAAGGTAACGGCTAGATGACAGCATTAAGCAGCATCAAATCCTTCCAGCAGCTACTAGAGGACATAGATGAGCATGTCAAGGCATTCACAAAAGAGTGATCAATAGCGAGAGATTGGTGTCAAAATTACAGAAAGAAAAGCCAAAAACAAAAAAACAAAAAACAAAAAACAAAACGTGAGGATCTATGTGCGTTCGATACCCTTGTGTGAGTGTCTTTGCTCTGAATTTAGCTTGGCCCAGCAAAAGAGAACGAAGGAGGGCTTGGGCCCGGTTCTAGCAGGGCAGCGAGGTTCTGCCCACAGAAAAGACATGAAAATGTCCGGATTCATCCGTCAACACAGAGGAACACGGGGACGACGACGGGAACTCGGCACGGCCGCGTTCACTGCCACGCTTGACACCGCAGGCTGCCCCGGTCACAGATTGAGTTCGGAGTGCGAGCTGGAGAGACGCGGGTAGAAAAAAAAGTCACAGCTTACAAATCTGTTCTTTCATCCAAATGAATGAAGTTTCTTCTCAAGAGCAGTTTCCTCATTGACTCCCTGAATGTATGTGTGTGTGTGTGTGTGTGTGTGTGTGTGTGTGTGTGTACGCACCGACGTGACTGAAGATCACTTAAACATTGTGAGGTGTTTTGTTAATGGGAAAGTATTCATATGGCTGGTGTTCAGTATGGCTTTAGGTTATGTTTTTATTTATTTATTTATTTTTTTAAAAACTGGATCTCCTTCCACAAAAAATGTAAATACAGTGAAAGGCTTTAAATTGCATGTTTTAGTAGAATAAAAGGAAGAATGCAAAAAAAGCTTGAAGAGGTCACTGGGATTGGATAAAGGGGACTTTCAGGTTGTTCGGCGTGGCGTAATCGAGCGCCACGTGGAAGAAAACAGAAGACGACAACGAGTGAGAGGCCTCTCTCATATAAGCAACTGGAAGAAGGAGATAGGAAAAGTGTCGACAGTGTTTCACAGCGCAGACTGAGACGACGGTATATCTCAGAGCCTTTGAGATAGCAGCAGCAGCAGCAGCAGCAGCAGCGGTGGCGGTGGTAGTGGTGCCTGTATTTATCGGGTTTAGACGTGGCTTTTGTTGCCTGTCAGTCAAACCCCGTCCAGCTGAAGCCCTCAAACGCTCAGACGTCGCAGGAGCGTGGCGGGGACTTATCACTGCGTACCACGCTACCAGCTACAAACAACCCATCAGCTGGAGGATCTGTTTATAAAGCACTTTGAGCCAATAATGCACTGATCATCATCCCAGTATGAAAAATCTCGCAGTTTTAGCGTTAAGAGCAGCAAACACTGACCGAAGACAATGGATATAAACTTTTACGTAACTGTTTGTTTCTAAAATATCTCTGTAATATGTTGTCATGGGATGTGTTGAGATTAAATATGATGTTAATGGGATGCAGGGTGTTGTAATGTGTTCATGTGCTGAGGGGGAGAGAGATAAAGCTGTTCTCTTGTTACTAAATCAGGTTGTCAAGGCTGAATGACTAAATAAACTCTTCTTATGATGATTTGGTGATAGATAGTTTCATAGATTTTTTTTGCTTCTTCTCTTGACACAGTCAGTTTGGCACCTGGTTTTGGTCTTGCTTGGAACAAAACAACAGACGAGACGGGGAAGATCCCAACAACATCAAACGAGTAGAAATAGTAGGAACGGTTATTGAGGAGCCTCAGCTTTGAAAGCAGCTGAGAGAATCCCTCAAGAAACCTCCACGAGGTACAGGGACAGTCCTGATGAGATCTGAGTCGCTCCCGCCCTTCTCTCTGCTTCTTCAAGTCTTTCTCTCACAGGTTCACATCCACTTTGTCACCAGTTTTCACACTGCAAGACAAGAGCACAACATGCAGGGAGATTGTAAGGAGACATTCAGACAAGTTTTGCTGTGGTCTGAGATGCTGATGTGAGGGTTTGTTAATAAGGAATCAGCACATTCTGTGTATATATACACTGTCTAGAAATGTTCATAGAAATCACCAGTACAGCTTCTGAATTGTGAAGTGACATACATGGCATGATGACACACAAATGTATATTACCATTTAAATGTTTGTTCCGGATTATCCATCATAAATATGAAATACTTTCAGACGACGAGACGTGATACATATCTAAAGTTGTTCATCTCCCTAAAACGACTTCATTCTCAGTAACTTTAGTTGTTGTATTACCTGAGCTAAACTACCAGGAGAAAAACATGATCATTAATGTGATGCTGTAATCTGGAGTCACTGGCTTTAATATGATTGATTATTTCTGACAACACACTTAATACACACACACACCCACACACTCTCTCACACACACACACACACACACACACACACACACACACACACACACACACACACACACCTAATTTATGTTGAAAACAGAAATGATTACAGTCTTGCTTGTTATGTGTGTGTGTGTGAGTTTTGCTGGAACATTTTGCAAATTTTCACATTTGACTTGCATCAGTAATTAAATATCAAACTAGGGCTGAAAATATTACAATTATTTTCATTATCAAATTATCTGCTGCTGCTTGTTTTCTCCATTAATCAATAAATTGTTTATAATCTGTAAAATGTAAGAAAATAAGAGTTAAATATCTATCCCAGAGTTCAAGTTGAGGTCTTTGTTGTCTTGTTTTATCCAACCAACAGTCAAAAACCCAAAGATAATCAGCTTGTAATGAAATAAAACAGAAAATATCTGTATCCTAGAGGCTGAAAAATGATGCACATTATTCATAAAAACGAACAAAGCAACAACAGCAAAGTTTACTGAGGTGACTGAAAGTAAAATCTTTAAGTGAGTATTTGTTGTACCATATAAATATAATAAAACTATCTCTACTGTGTACCTCCATTGTTGTACCTCAAACTGTCAGCAAGAAACAATGTGGAAATGTTTTACTTCAATACCCGTAAATTTGTTAATGTGATTTCAGTCAAGTCAAACTCTGCACTATTTATTAGGAGATTTGCTCATAATGTTGACTGTTTTGCCTCCTGTGTGAAGAAATGCACAAACACAGCAGCAGAATTTAATGTGGGCAGAGCGGAAATTTGTGCAGGAAGTCTGTTATTAGAGATGCTGTGATTTAGGCTGGAGGTTGGAGGTATTTTATAATGCTGTTGCCTTGAGCAACTGTAAGTACAGCTTATTGAATGCTTGATTAAACCTGAAATTCTGCTTAACTGAGGGACCTATAGCACATATACTTCCTACAACACACACACACACACACACATGTATATATAAAACATCAGCTGACAGAGGAGATGGGAGCAGCCGTGATCTGACTTTGATAAAAAGAGAGCAGGCGACATGACAGCTGCCATATGGACTCATCTGACAGAGGGACAGAGGAAAGAGACCACAGATGTGTGTGTGTGTGTGTGTGTGTGTGTGTGTGTGTGTGTGTGTGTGTGTGTGTGTGTGCTTTGTTTACAGAATGAGGCCTGCAGCACCAGGAACGGGAGGGGCTCAGCATAACACTGCTGACAGGAAAAAAATCTAACAAACCTTAAAATATACGTGACATACTCCTAGTTAATATTTGTAGTTCATGTCGCCATAAACTAGAGTACATGTACTAAGAGGCTTTCAGGACCTTTGACCTTTGGCCTCTGTGATACCAAAGAGAGACAGGATTCTGTATTGGCCTGAATATAATAGTTTTTTTCTCTAGGAATTAGGTTTTAATGTGCTCACAATGTCAGATATTATTTCTGAATGGAGGGAGTACCACTGTAACTATGGTCTTTTACAGAGTGTTGCATTATGGGTTGTTT